AGAATCCACAAAAACACTGTTTGATCAAAATAAGAAATGTATAGACAAGTAGAGTTACTTTCTTTCTTCATGACATTTTCGACAACAGTCCATAATTGCGGGTCAGCTGATGTTCGATTTTCAACAGAGTACTGAGTTGCCATCAGGTCTGCTAAGGCTCTTGCTCGTCCAAGCTCTGTAACATAAAGAGCAGCCTTAGAATTCCAGCACTACAAAACAATTTACTGAGCTGCTGATAGGGAAAAACATGCATGTCTGCAAAGGATATTTTTAATTGATCGCTGTCTTGAAGAAAACCTCGCATTGTTTCGGATTTTTCAATACTTCGAAACAAAAGGGAAAAAGCTTCCTGAGGGTTGTTTCGTGATAACTTCGTCAATGCAAGACTGCAATAGCAAAAAAACTCACTTTCAACGTTTCCAATGTTTTCACTTATTGACAGTGCCTTCTCAAGATATTCTTCAGCCACGTCATGATCGCCGCGAGATTGAAGCAGTTGCCCAAGGCTGAGGTAACTTGTTGCTTCTAATGCTCTGTCAACAATTTCAACTGCAATCGCAAGTCCTTTCTCAAAGCAGGCTTTAGCTTTATCTTTATCGCCAAGGGATTTATGAAAATCGCCTTCTTGTACGTAACACTCTGCTTCTATCCTCTTATTACCACTTTTCATAATCGTCGCAAGTGCTTTGTCATTATATTCTTTAGCCTTGGCATATTTACCGAGACCACAATACACGCCTCCTAGGTTTCTATACAGTGCTCCTTCTGTCGCTCTGTCACCAATTTCCATGCTGATCGCAAGCGCTTTTTCATAATATTCTTTTGCCTTGACATATTCACCGAGANTTTTTTGAACAACAACGCGTAATTTTCTGGTTTCACAACACAGTAATATCGGCTAACTGCAATTAAACCCATGGTACCCATAGAGATCATTCCAAATATCAATGCCCCAAAACCGTGGAAACGACAAAAACTCTCACCAAACATCCAGCGGCCGTGAAACAAAGTTGCAACTGAAAAAGGCATACAGAAGGTGGACATGAGAATATCGCTTACACCAAGTGCTATCACAAACATGTTGGGAAGCGTACGAAGTCTCTGGTTTCTGTACACGGCGTAACAAGTTAGAAGATTGCCAAGGAAGGCCACAGTATTAATTACAGCAAACAAAACTGTTTCAGTGCTCTCTAGAGCCTTAGTTCGCGTGGCAAGCTGGACAGAAAGCGATTCCTCCATGTTTAACGTTGACGGTAGACGAAGATATTCACGTTAATGCTGTTTAGGGCAATAAACGTTAGAAGCTATTTAGTTGTTGTAACACAGGAGGTCGTTGTCACTCAACTGAAAGAGCAGCTGTAACCTCCTGTCGTTTTTACGCCATCACATACATGATAAGAACCACGATATAGGCTCACTTCACTTGAAGGCAGCACCTGCCTTGTCTTATTTTAAGCTTCTATTCGTCACTGGCCATAATTATATTTAAAAAAAGTCATTAGCTGAGAAGTTAAA